GCAGGGAATAAACTGTCAGGATTGATCATGTTAAACCTCTATATAAACTTTTTACCAGACACATTTGAAATGTGATACCAAACAGAAAGCAAGTGCTGTGTCGTAGAAATTGCTTAATTGATTTTGGTGCCTTAATTCGCAAACGTTCAACCAAAAATCATTCCGTTTGGTTTGCGAAAGCTAATTTGTATGCTAATAATAAACTGAATTTTTTATTCAAACAATTAAAATGATGTTATGATTTATATTTATTTGGGAAAAAAAGATTGCGTATTTATGCAAATACGCATCTCGTCTTAAGCACTGTCAGACATGTCGTTTTAAAAGAAGATTTTTTTAAAGTTTTTACTATACATATATAGTTAAAAACAATGACACTGAGGCAGGGCCAGTTTTGACCCCAGGGCTTTTATTTGAACAAACTTTGTAGACACTTACTAGAAGATGTTTCATGATTAATATCTAAACTCTAGCTATTTGGTTTTTTTCAAAGAAGATTTTAAGTGTTTGCTATACACATATAAAGAAAATCAATGACCCCCGGGGCGGGGCCAATATTGACCCCAGGGTTTTTATTTGAACAAACTTTGTAGACACTTACTAGAAGATGTTTCATGTTTAATATCTAAACTCTAGCTATTTGGGTTTTTTCAAAGAAGATTTTAAGTTTTTGCTATACACATATAAAGAAAATCAATGACCCCCGGGGCGGGGCCAATTTTGACCCCAGGTCTTTTATTTGTACAAACTTTGTAGACACTCACTAAAAGATGTTTCATGCTTAATATCTTAACTCTACCTATTTGGATTTTTCAAAGAAATTTTTTTAAGTTTTTGCTGTACACATATAAGGAAAATCAATGACCCCCGGGGTGGTGCCAATTTTGACCCCAGGGCTTTTATTTGAACAAACTTGGTAGACACCTATTAGAACATGTTTGATGCTAAATATCTTAGCCTTAGCTCTTAGAGTTCTTTGAAAGAAGATTTTTTAAGTTTTTACTATATGCATACAGGGAAAATCAATGACCCCCCGGGGCGGGGCCAATTTTGACCACAGGGATTTTATTTGAACAAACTTGGTAGACACTTATTAGAACATGTTACACGCTAAATATCTTAGCTCTTACTCTTTTGGTTCTTTAAAAAAAGATTTTTTTAATTTTTTACTTTATGCATATAGGGAAAATCAATGACCCCCCGGGGCGGGGTCAATTTTGACCCCAGGGCTTTTATTTGAACAAACTTGGAAGACACCCATTAGAACATGTTTCATGCTAAATATCTTAGCTCTAGCTCTTTGGGTTCTTTAAAAGAAGATTTTTTAAGTTTTTACTATATGCATATAGGGAAAATCAATGACCCCCCCCCGGGGCGGGGCCAATTTGCTTCCAGGGCTTTTATTTGAACAAACTTGGTAGACACTCAATAGAAGATGTTTCATGCCAAATATCTTAGCTCTAGCTCTTATGGTTTTTTAAAAGAAGATATTTAAAGTTTTTTATTTCGGTTGCCATGGCAACCAGAGTTCTGCATGGAATTAAATTCTTTGAACAATTTTTTAAGGTGACCACCAAAGGAACATTCATGTGAAGTTTGGATGAAATTGGCTTAGTGGTTTATGAGGAGATGTCATTTAAAGTAAAAGTTTACGGACGGACGGACGCCGGACGGACGCCGGACGAAAACCGATCACAAAAGCTCACCCTGTCACTTTGTGACAGGTGAGCTAAAAAAAAGTCTTAGTATTTCCAAAAGTAATATAGGAATCGCCATCCAGGCTGGCATTCGAAAAAATATTTTTTCATGAAATAAACTACTATTCTATTGTTTCTTCTTGTAAGAGAAATATTCTTTATGGTTTTTATCCCATAGAAGCCCCTACATACCTATGCCGAGCATCGTGCATATGGATAGTATTTTATTTGCTTATATAGGAAACCCGACAAGAACATGGTGGTTAAGGCCCCTGTGTTAGGACTTTTGTCGACTATTAGGTTATCATCTGGTATTAAATTATCCGTTTTGATTGACCTAGAGCAGACGATGTACGGGTAAAAATATTTAAATCTTGTCAATTGTATATGCCGCCGTCCTGGAACGACAATAACTTTGCGTATATGTGTAATTTGAAAAGGTCGTGTCATGCACCAGCAGGTTATGTCTACAGTTAAACTTATAAATCATGACAGAAAACGTAACAAGATGGTTGTGTCCGATCAATAACTTTCTCATTAATTGATGCCTTTTGAAATAATTCTGCATAAATATATGGCACATATATCAAAAATCATTTGGGTTAAATATGGCGCCTCTTTGTAAGACGACATGTAGCGGACAAATGTTCCAAGGTCACACATGTATTTCCAAAGTCATGATATGAGAGTGCATTTGTGGCCATGTCCAGTCCATATATGTGTTATTCAGCAAGAGCTAAGAATAAATAAGTGGTACTTTGAAACAATTTGTCTTGAGTGAGAATAGATATTTTGAAGGTCATCTACGGTCATAAACTATGTCATTCATTGGATGGATATTGGCGTAACTAGGCATACATTTGCCGCACATAAGGACTACTTGTAATGCTTAAACACTAGGCTGATAACTAGATAGGTCAATTAAGAACATTAATGGTTGTGTCTATATCTTGGTAATTTATTTTAAAGTAATAAGAAATACTGAAGATGTAAACAAATGCTTCTTAATATTTCTAATTTTTGGAAAACTTTTAAGACTACAGTATCCATGCCTTCAATGTAAAAAATGGAATACAAGATTAACAATTTTCAATAAACGCCACCCCAACACGACCAAGCAACAAAGGTAATGGATCCTTAACTGAGTCGAGCTTCGGAGACATTTCAAGTGGCACGCCCTTGTTTGACTTTGTTTTACATAATTGTCGGGATAGTGCAAAAATAGTTGGTACACATTTTAGTGACTTATATTACACTAAGAAATACCAAAGTAATTTTATGGAGTGATAGTTGATAAAATAATTAAATTGTGGCAAATGACATCAAAATATGTTATAACATTATGGAATAAGAATTCATCAATTTTTTGAAAGATAGCCAAGAACAAAATAAGTATGAAGATTTGAATATATCTTAGTCACTTGAATGATTTTAAAACATGAGATAGAATAAGGTACAGCGTCCTTGGCAAAGTGGCATAATTATAACGTAGACGTTGATATTAACTAAGACAATGAATGAATACCAATGAATTAAGACAAAACGCAAACAAAGCTCGTATTTTCAGGTTAGTTAATAAAATTTAAAGAAATAGGATTCGAAGGCATATAATTTACATGATTTAATAGCAAAAAACCAAAATGCTCTATCTAATCATTCTGTGTTAATAAAAAAGGGTAAACAGCAGTGAATCGTCAATATATTAATTGCAGAATTGGTATCAATTAACTGTCTAATCTTCTATGCATGTAACTTCATCAAATACCCGCAGTTAAGACCTATAATGTTTTACTTTATATTATTCATTAACGTAAGACAGTGCAAGCTCGTAGACTGTTTATGGTTCATGTTTGCGAGACTTTTTTTCAAAGTGAAATACAATAAAGATTAAAATGACATTACCATTTATTTGAGTGTATTTCAGTTAATAAATAGATGATCTGTTTTTAACCATGGCTAGGCATGTTTAAAGTTTGATTGATAAAAACGACCCTTTATAAAGTAGCTATATCAATACAACAATAAAAGATATCGTATAAACACATCTGCAATATGCGGATGTTTCTAAATTCCAAATTTGACCATTTTCCCCTTTTATATATGAATTTTGCGTAGGCCGGTGCTAGGGTGCTTGGACGGTACTTTGCAATTTCCAGTTACGTCAATGTACAGGCTCAATCAAATCGAGCCTACAACGTTTTCAATTTTGCCGTTTTGATCGTTTTTAGAGATTCTGTTGTTGTTGTTTTTTTTCTATTTTAAATCGGGTCGTACAATAGATATTGTTGCAAAAAGATGCGGACTCAGAGACATAGTCGCTGACCTGTGAAGATGACAGGCAATTTTTTTAAATATTTGCATACTGACCTTGACTCTTGCCATTCAAATTATAAAATGATCTAGTGTCCATAAAGGTTTACACAAATGCTATTCTATCAAAATAAAGAAACTTAAACATCTAATGGTAAATCAAAATGTGCAGGGATTTCTTTAGGGATTCTTATTTCACTCTATTTTATGTAAGACATTTGGGATCTCAGATACCTGATAAAGATTAATTGTCCGAAAAGATGACCTGTGATAGTTTGAAGTAATGATGTAAATCAAAGTTTGCATTATACCTACACAGCATGTACAATTCGACATAACATGTTGCTCATATCATTATACAATTTGTGATATTCATTCCTACAGAAGGATCCATTTGTTTTAAGCACTTTACTTATATTTGTTAAAAAAGGTGTCCATTTTGAAATCAAAGATGGCCGGCATAGCAGTCAATGTGTAAAGCATGTATAGTTATCAGCCAATTATTCCTAAAAGTAATTATAAACTTTATTCCATGTAGATTAACGGACAAACGATAAGATATGTACCAGAAATAATAATTTTTTAAGTAGATGGTAAAGGACAATGGCGGCCATTTTGATTTGACCTTTAGAAGGTCAAGGACTTCAAGTACAGCCGTGGTAGAGCAAAAAATGGATTCAGCGTACCCGATATATCTAAAAACGATTGAAACCTGCTTGTACTAAAAAATGCCGTTAGACTCTTAACGGAGGGTCTTTTCTAAAAATCAAACCCGTCTATGATGAATGATGCCCTTTTCTTACAATGAATCTCAGGTGCCAACATAACCCTTTTGTGATAGTGACCTTGTTTTCATTGTTAGTCAAATGTCACGGCCCATTTACACGGCCAAGCTTTCGGGGCATAGAACTGTTTGTGTTCAGTCGTAGTTTAAACTGGTTTTCATTGGATTCTACAAATGTAGTTACATTTGTTTTCTCTTTTTTTTCCTAGATATCATGATGGCGCACGAAGTACATTTAAAGAACAGCAAATACCGACAGTGGGTAAAGGCAGGCCTAGGCTTAGGTTATCTGAAAGAAGGACTAGCACCGTTTTGTGATGACATAGGAAAACAGCAGCACAAAGATATTATAAAAAAAATTCAAGGAACAAAGACTCCTAAACCAAATGTACCATGTGGCGTCTGTCAGATAACTTCTCTCCAGCCAGACCACGTTCGAGTCTCAAAAGGAATATGTCCACTCAAGCAAGACAAATGTAACTGTTGCTTTCCAAATAATAAGAAACCCTGTCCAAACAACATATGTGGTGCCATCTATGACAGCATTATACAGAATCATGCATCAATACCACCGGCACCTTTTTGGAGAAACAGCGATGCCCATGATTGGTCCGTTGACCCATGGAGCATATGCAAATGTTTTATAAATGCTCCTGGGTACAAGGACAAGACATCAGCAGTCGACGTTGACTGCTCGGGGCTACTACATGTTATCATAAATAACAAATATTTTCATAATCATATTGGATGCAATGTAACAGGACCAAACAATCTTTTCGCAAAGGTAAGTCTATTTGTTTACTCTTTGTTTATTTCTAATTTTGTAGAATCATTATACGACTTAAATCGATACTGCACTAAGGTGACGATAATAACTTCCATTTTGATGCTGAATATAGAATGAATCTTATAGTAAAGCTTAATAAATTTTTATTGATTTTAAAATAGACTTAACCCATTACTGCACTAAGTTGGCGTTACGTCCATATTATCATTAGGCCGATTTGTGAGATAAACAATTCCACAATAAAAAATGATTAAAAACTTGTTATGCAACAAATTTTATTGTGATTCGGTGTAAAAAATTTCTTTACACCAGCCTTGAAATTTAGTATGTTTCCTATGCCCTTGCCAGTGTTTGGTACGGTTATATTCGTATGCCATCACTCTTAAGGTGGGGGTATATAAGCCTTTGACCATGAGTGCATGAGTGTTTTTGTTCCATTTTGTATCTCAAATAGCTGTCAATTCACCAAACGTTACAGAAATGTTGATCGGCATGTGAACTTGTGCACCAGGGGGTTTTATTTGTGGATAAATTCAGTTTACCGTATCCGTTCTATGCATTCTTACTATTTTGCTCGAGATTCGTATCCAGAAGATGCAATTGCGTATCCCGCTTGACAGTTTTAATGCTTCACTTAGGGGTATTGTTTAGTATCATTGCTAAATACAATATAATTATGTGTGTATGTTAGACATAGTTTTTCCATTCAATAGGTCAGACAATATAGAAATGAAATTTTTCACTCAAGCAGTATGGAGTTAGAGGAAACAGAGGCAAATTCTTACATTGAAGATATGATATCAGTTCTACAAGATGGAAAGGAGCTTATACACCATCAGGCTTCTCAACTAGCTGTCGGGAAACTACATGATGTAAGTGTAAATAATGAATAACATGTATAAGTTTGAAATTCTGAAGGTTTTTTGTTATGATTAAAATAGCACATTTTTTAATTCAAGACATATTTAGGGTAATTGACAAAATGTTTAAAAGGGTTTCATTATAGTCATATTTAAATAAGTACTGCCTTAAAAATTTAATTAATGAAATTAAATATACGTGCTCATAAAAACTTAATACACAAAAACAACGTAACCTTCGTTGTTAGATAAAAAGTAAAGTAAGAAGTATAGTCTGACTATTAGATATCTATACCACATATCATGTTATAAAAGCGGATTTAAAAAGTTCTCACAAAATAGCGAGATATAAAAAAAACAATTGTGGTAATTTTGAAATAAAGTCTGACCGCTTATATGAAAAATATTTTTTATAAAAGATAAATAACATCAATTAAAAAGCTGCAATTTTAACATAGTTATTAATTTTCATCAGCTGAAGAGGAAGGCCTTCATAATAACTACTGACGGCTTTGAAGAAGTTCTGAGGCAAATCAAAGAAGAAATGACGAAAATTCTGCAATCGACAGAAAATGCTGCAACTAAAGAGGAATATGACGAGCTTAAAAATAAGTTATATGACCTTGAGACACAGATGGCTCAAGAAAAAGAGGTACAACTATGTTTCTATTATCTATAAATTTGTTTCCGATTGATATACCAGTTCATGTACATACAACCATGTATAATAAGCTTACACAGAATAAGGTTAGCGAGCTTTTTGATTTCGTGATGTCCGTTGTCTGTTGTTATCCACATTTTTGTCTTACCTAATCACTACTTGCGATGTGGTGGTCACTTCTCTGCCATGCATCATCAACAATTTCTTGAAACATCGGCTTATAAACTGATGTTGTATTTTGGCCTAGATATATTGATTATTAGGTGGTCACTTATCGGCATTATATACCAATGAACATAGTTTAAGGGGGTTATATAGCAGTCAGCTCGTCGGCCGGTGGGTTGGTCAGTCGTTTGCTCCACTTCATACTTTCCACTTGAATTTTGAATGGGGTATTATAATCAAAACTGGTATATAGCAATTCTATATAGAAACCCAGTTGGGGTTGCTTTAACCCCACCCTAAAGTCAACGTCACTGAAAAATTGAGAAAAAATTATCCCGACAAAAAAAGGGATAGGAATGAGATATTGTAATCAAACTTGGTTTGTAGCAAGCTTATATCAAGACAGACCACAGTTAATATTCATTTTGAAACCCCTGGGGTCAATGTCACTGTTAATAAAATTAGACAAATTGTTTCGGGACAATAACTAGACTGAGGAATGAGATAATACAATCAAACTTAGGATATATCAAGCTTATATCTAAATCCTGGGTTGGATAGTTTTTAGATCCCCAGGGGTTAATGTCAAGGTCACCGTTACTAAAATTAGGCAAAAATGGTTAGTAGAAAATAACAATTGTAATCAAACTTAGTATAAAGCAATCGTATATGGGATTGCCTTGAACACCATTGCGCCAAGATTAAGGTCATGTTACTGCAAAAAGACAAATGGATTCCGGATGATAACTTAAGTTAAGAGTTAGATATTGTTATCACAATTGGTATATCGTAAGCTTTGCGGAGACCTTGCTTGGGAGACCTTGTCGACCTTCTCAGGTCAAGGTCAATGTAACCGCCACTTAAATAGAAAAGTTATTTCCGAACAATAACTATAGATAAGAATGATATTTTGTTATAAAACTTAACACTGGCAAGCTAATTAATACACACATCATGGCATTTTTTGTTGGACCCAATAGGTTCGGTGTCAAGGTCATTGGGTGGGAATCCTTGGGAAAAAGGCGTTACAAACATAAACTGATTCTTTTCTTTAAAATGAAAAATAGTCTTACCCCTCAATACCTCTCTGACCTTGTCCCTTCGTCTGTTGGAAGTGAGCATCGGTACCCACCCACTCCGGAACACAAACGACACTAAGAATATTCACACAAATACAGATTATTACTATAAATCATTCTTGCCTTCTGTTATCAGAGATTTTAATTCTCTTCCACCTCAAACGCAAAATTCTTCAACCTTAGCTTCTTTTTAGCGCTTGCTTAATAATGATTTGCTTATTTGCCTTCTGGTTATTTTCCGGTGAAAACTTCAAATTTTTCACACAAGATTACGCACTCACTGCAGTTCGCTTTCTGCCGATCTATTTGAAAAGAATATAATGGAATCTTCGTTCTGAGAATGTGGTGCGAGAGAAAATGCTTATCACTACTTCTTGGAATGCCCTAAATATACTAACCTTCGACCAGAACTAATAACGGCTATTTCCCAATTTTGTAATCCTTCTATAAATGTCATTCTTACTGGAAACACTTCTTTATCTTACGAGTCTAATGTATCTATCTTTACAGCTGTTCAAAATTACATCCGAGAATCGAAGCGCTTTTAACGCGTACTCCGAGTCTTACTATCTAACATACATAGTTACTATATAATGCATCTTTGTTTACTCCTACTGCTTTATTATTGTTCATCCACCTCTCCTTTTTTTTCAAAATTTTTTTTGTCAAAATTAGCTGGTAGTTATTTTTTTCGTTATTGTATAATTGTACTTTATAACTCTCAATTAAGATTCTTATTACATTCTTTTGTCTCCGTTAATAAACAGTTGTCTTTTCGATTGCACATTCCTAGGTGAAAATTAAACGGCGACTTCTAACTAAATTAATCTCTGTCATACAATAATTTATTTTTTCACCTCCATTTTGTTTCATTTTTCTTTTGCTTTTTTTCTCATGACCATTTGGTTTAGTATTTATTAATTGCAAAAAACATATTTTTTGAAAATGTCTTTGATATATTTTCAACTAAATAAATTTTGTGCATGATAATGCCATTAACTGTATATATGTAAATTGTTTAAGCTGGGACGTTACACTCATAAGCTTTCATAGCTTTCTGCCCAATCCCAAATGTATTGTGTAAATATTGTTCATCATAATGTTAATATATCGAATAAAAATATGTATAAACTAAGGTCATTGTTTTTAAAAATAAAGAAATTTCTTGAATGACATTTAATTGTTATAATTATTTGTACACAGATGAAACAAAATAAAACATAAATCGAGTTCAAATTTTGTTTCAGACTTCTGTTCTAATTTAAAAAAATTAAGTTGGTTAGGTAGGGGTATCGGTAATCTTTACTGATAGCTCTAATTGTACAAGTTTGTTTCATACGTAGGTATCAGAGCTAACAATTGATACTACAAATATATTGTAAAATGAATAAGGTATATAGCTTTGGTATTTATTATGTAACATCATCTAGAAGTCCTCTACCAAAGATGTTTAAATGATGCCTCTGCGGTTAATATTGTCATTGTCATTATTTTAATGTCATGGAATTTCCTTAAAATATTTTTAGCAAACATTTAGAATATATTCTCTGAAACTACTACCGCTAAAGGATAGAAATGTGGCAACGAATTCTACCAAGATTGTTCAAATCATGGGCCTTGGTTTAAGATAGACTATGTCGTGGTTGGCAATTTGTTTTCTATTTATGACCAGTATACATGTTAAGTAAACCTTTCCGATTAAATTAGTTACAGTCGTTGTATTCAAACAACTGGCCAAGCTAGTGTGGGTTCGAATTTCATCAAGGACTATTTTATCCTGAGATGACCTCTACAACAAGTTTATGGAACATCAGTGATTCCAATCAAGTGCCAGCATTTGTCTGAAATGATACACGGACTGGCACTTGAAGTCTTCCTGCACCAGTTAAACTTGAAAGTCACCACATAGTGTCAGTGTAATATAAAACAAAATCATTTAAATAAATTTTCCTTCTCTAAAACAAAAATTAAAAAAGACAAATGTAGAGCTAAGAAATTTGACTTGAAACAGAGTCTAGTAGACCCTACCAGCCTACTGGGAGCGAGAGGGTATTTAATGTTAAGTATGAAAACAGTCAAAAGTATTTTTCGCTGTAACAAACATTGCTCCTCAAGTTTGTGAATACATCTTTTTATAAAATAAAAAGTAGGTATATTGATAAATAGTAGCATTGACCTCCAATTGACATTAACTTTATTGTGACTTTCACAGTCTTTGTCATTTGTATAAGTTTTTTTATGCCACCGCGGCATTTGCGATGCGGTTCCATATAACGATTTACCTGTGTGTGTATTTGCTTGCGTGCGTGCGTGCGTTGGTGTGTGTGTTTGTGTGTGTATGTGTGTGTGTGTGTGTGTGTGTGTGTGTGTGCGTGTGCGTGTGCGTGTGCGTGTGCGTGTGTTATAAATTATATAGTGAACATAAAAAGACTTCTTCTGAAAGCTACTTGTCCAATGTCAACCAAGCTTTGAAGGATTGTTCCTTGGAAGTTGTTCAAAGAATTTGATTTCATGCAGAAATCTGGTTGTCAAGGTAACCAAAAGGAATTTTATGAATGAATTCAAAAAATCTTTTTGTAAAGACCCAAAGGCATAGAGTATGGATATTTTACATTGTCTGGTAGACCTCTACAAAGCTTGTTCAAATTACAGACCTGGGGGTCAAAATGGCCCCGCCCCGGGGGTAATTGATTTTCATTATGTGCATATAAAAACTTTTTAAAAAAAACTTGTCTGAAAGTGCAAGGCTGAGAGCTTTGATATTTGGTATATGATATCTTCATCTTCTATAGCACCACTACCAAAGTTGTTCAAATTTTGCCTCTCGTGTCAAAATTGACCCCGCCCCGGAGTCATAGATTTTCCTTATACGTACGTATAATTATATTTAATCTCCTACTCTGAATTGACAAAGGCTAGAGATTAGATATTTGGCATGAAACATTGTGACCAATATTTTTCAAATTAAAGTCCAAGGGTCAATATTGGCCCCGCCCCGGTTGTAATTGATTTCCACTAAGAACATAATTTTATAATAAAAACTTAAAACTCTTCTGTACCTGCATTTCAAAGTTTAACACAGCTATGAAATACAGAATATACCTATTTTTTCAATAGAAAATTCTTTT